GAAATAAAAAAAATAGTAAAAACATTGAAAATTGGGTTTTTCTTAGATATCTAATTGAAAAATTAACATATTCTCTTTGTCAAGGTGTCATTTCTTTCAGAATTTTATTAACTTTAATAAAATAAAGAGGAAACAATTTTAGTTTTAATATTTTTGAAGATTTGAACAGTTTTATAGTTGTTGAAAAAGCAGAGTTCGCACAATTTCGGACGGTAGTGTATATATAAATTCATTAACACGATTTATTTATTAACTAATTAAATTATCCAAAATCGTCACCTATATAAAAGAAATGTTACAAATTCGAGTTCTTGTTTATTAAAAAATTTTTTAATTACTTGTACCTAGAAAATGAGGTCATTAAAATAATTTATAACTTTTTGCTGATTCTTAAAAAACAAGTTTTTTTGAAAAAATTTCAAAATCACCCCTAGAAAGGGGTAAATCTTCTCTAAATGAACAGCTACGATTTGCGGGTTAAGTTTTCTCGTTTCGGGGGTGCTATGGAAGCACCGGATAACAATGATTTTTCTTTTCATCGTGGGCAAATTTTTTTTTCTGTGAAGGGTTAACGAAATTTGGTTCCATTCAGGACAAGACAATTTTTTCCCCAAATTTTTAATTTAAAATGTACTAAATTTTATTTTTAAAAAATTTTCTTTCACTCTCTAAATCTGAATTAGTAAAAATGTTTACTAATTTGAATTAGTGACTCACTTTTTGCTTCTGAATTAGTAAAATTTTACTAATTATTAGTAACTTTTACTAACAATTGGTAAAATTTAACTAATTCAGAAGCAAAAAGTGAGTCACTAATTCAAATTAGTAAACATTTTTACTAATTCAGATTTATAGAGCAATAAAAGTTTTAACAATAAACGATTTAACGTCTCTTCTTAAAAAATGTTTGTAAATAAAAAGTCTAGACGACTTTAAGCCTCTAAAAATTTCAGTATTACTAAAGATAAAAGGGAAAAATTGCATATTCTAAGAATGGAGAAAAATTGAAAGAAAAATGATAATCAAAAAGAAAATGAAAAACGATTCTGAAAAAGTTTCAATGAGCACCTTGATCAATAGTTCTCAATTTGTGATCGATTTTTTAAATTAAAAATCTAAATGCCATGCAATCGGTAAAGTACATGTATTGTGATTTTATTTTTAATTTCTGCATTAAGCATTTATTTGCCTAACCGTTTTTCTTCTAAAAATACTACAATAGAGAAGAAAAATTTAATGTGAAACTATTGTTATCTCGAGTCAAGCCAATTCATGTATTTCTTCTTTTTTTAAATTTCAATCTTATATTATTTCGTAATTGAAAAGTAGAGAAATAAATTTTTTTCTTGTATAATAATAACAGACAGTACCTACAGAGTCTTGTTTAAATTTTTACAGAAGTTACTGCTTCCAATTTATCAACTTTTCGTGGCTTTATTGTCAATCTTTCTGCGCAAGCGGAAATTATTCTGCTTCGACCAAGTTTTTTTGACATTGGCAGTGAAAACTTCTGAAATTGGAAGCACAAACTTCCGTAAAAGTTCAGACAAGACACTGCTAACTGGAATTTAATGTTAGGAATCAAACAATGAATTGTAAATTTAGTGATTAGAAAGCATTCCATTACTTTATTTCATCGCTCGATCAATCGAAAATCAAGGGACTTGACATCGAAATAAAAGTAGCAGAATATGCGATATAGCAACAAAAGAAAAAAATATATATATTTTGCAATTATAAAAAATCTTGGAATTTTTCAGACGAGTTAATTTTCCTTATGGCTCGTGAGACAAATTCAGATTGATAAAGAATGACCTATTTTGTTAATCTATCGTAACTCTAAGCTTATTTTTTCATGAAAGACTATAAGATGTGTACTATTAAATAATTTTAATTAGCTGCGTCGTAGTACAAGCGTACTTACGAACTTAGATTTGGTAATGGTATTATATATATAGTTGAAATTTTTTCCATTCAGACATTAGGTCCAGTGCCTCAGTTTTACACAAAAGGTTCTAAAAAAACAAACAAATTAATTGAGTATAGCCCGTTGCATCTAATCCCCATTATGCAAGTCCATGTTCTGTAAATGTATCATAAAAGTACGGAATAATGATCGAAGCAAAAATAAATTATTGTATGAATCGTTTGTGGAAATTTTATTTTTAGTCAATCACCTATAATCCTTGAGTAGAAATAATTTTTATATTAATATTAATCAGGTTATAAATTTATAATTTTTATTAAGAATTTAATTAATTAATTAGGATTTATTTGTGTGGTTACCCTGCTGAAAGTGAAAAGATAAAAAGAAATAGAATTTTGGGGATATAGAAAGATATAAAGTAATATTTCTTTAAAAGTTTATCACTACTTCAATCCTTGAACGCCCAGTGGTTACAATCGAAACAATTTTGAATTCAAAAAAACATAACTTTGTCAAAAATTAAAATATTATTAATTATTATTTAATTTATAATTAAAAATTAATTAATAAAAATTAATTAATAACATTTTTTATAACAATATACACACAAGTATCCCTATTGAATATCCCTGTTCAAGATCTTGTACAAGAAAATGTACACGTTCAGCAACTGTATTGTACCAGTTCTGGTGTGGAAAATGTACATTTTCTTGTACAAGATTTTGTACAGGGATTATCAATAGGAATGTGATTTAATATGGTGGACAAAATTTGAAAAAGTTGAGCTAAGCTCTTGAAAATGATTGCTTTGGGGTTGTTTGGGTCACTGATTACGAATCCGATGTCAGTTTTTCAAAATTTTCTAAATTTAAAATGGCGCGTGCAAGATGGCGGATGTTTTTTTTAATTAATCAAATTTGCGTGAAACTTGTTACACCATTTTGTATTTTCAAAAACTGTCATCGGATTGCTACTCAGCAACTTAAAAAACCCCTAAGTAAAGAGTTGCAAGTAAATCAATTTATAAATTTATAAAAAACTAACATCGGATTTGTAATAAGCGACCCTAAAATCCTCACCATTTTAGATTCGCCATTTTGAGTTTTGAAAAACTGACAACAGATTTGTAATCAGCGACCTCAAAAACCCCAGAATAACGAGTTTCATGCAAATCCGATAATTTTTTTTTAAATTGTTCGCTATATTAGATCCGCTGGATATAGTTCCGAATAGCACATACCTCCGATTTCAATAAAACTTAGTATCCCTACGTAATTTGGTGCGCTGATTACGAAAATCATAGTGAAAATTGGCGGAAATTTAATTATCATGGTAAAAACCATAAAAAACACCATAAAATCATGGTTTTTTTCGATTATCTCGTAAAAAACAAAAAACTTCGAAAAAAGTTTTAGACGAAAGTTGTAGATCTCTAAAAAACACACATTTCATGTTTTATGCATTTTTTACCAAAAGTCATTATTTTTCGAGAAAAACGCAAAATAGTAAACACGGCCTTCGGCCGCGTAAGGTACTGCTCGCTTCTCTTTTTAAGAAATCTTGGCGAGAGGGGGTGGATGTGTCCGAAAGTAATTTGCAGAAATTGTGGGGTGGAGTCTACAGCAGCGGTAAACGCAAAATAGTAAACACGAGCAGTACCTTACGCGGCCGAAGGCCGTGTTTACTATTTTGCGTTTTTCTCGAAAAATAATGACTTTTGGTAAAAAATGCATAAAACATGAAATGTGTGTTTTTTAGAGATCTACAACTTTCGTCTAAAACTTTTTTCGAAGTTTTTTGTTTTTTACGAGATAATCGAAAAAAACCATGATTTTATGGTGTTTTTTATGGTTTTTACCATGATAATTAAATTTCCGCCAATTTTCACTATGATTTTCGTAATCAGCGCACCAAATTACGTAGGGATACCAAGTTTTATCGAAATCAGAGGTATGTGCTATTCGGAACTGCACCCGATCCGCTTTCCCGATTTTTCTAAAAAAAATATATTTCCATTTTTTAATGTTTTTTTTTACAAAAATAAATTAAAAATTAAATTCATTATGAAATGTGCCCCCATTTCAAAGTTCACAAAAAATATAATTACACATAGAAGAAATTATTAACAATATTTTGATATTAAATATTAACAACATTAAATTTTCTTTTAACACAGAAAAAACATTGTTTTATTTTTTTTGCAGTTCAAAATGTATCTACTAGATAACATAGAAAGTGGCGCGCCACCTACTTGTCTCAATTTTTTCTCATTTTTTTGTGAAGATACGGTAAGAATTTGCTTATGTAAGGTAAATTCGCTGACAAGAAAATCTACTTAAAATAAGCTTTAATAACATTTTCATATTCATATTTTTAAGAATTTGGAAAAATAATTTTTTTGTAAATTTTTTTTGTTTAAAGTTATGTGATTTCACATGTTAAGCGCCACGATATATATCGGTATGCACGGAATTGAAATTAAAGTGATTTTAGCTGTCATATTGTGAATCTGGTTTATAGGTGAAACCTTCTTTCCTTGTATCTTTAGGATGAAGTTACATGTTGATGTAAATGTCGAATGCAAAACCGAAAATAATGAGAGTGAAAAGGATAGTGATATATCTCTATCCTTTTCACTCCAGACATCGAAAATTCAATTTTTATATATAAAAAAAATCGGAAAAAAATCCCAATCATCTTCTGATGTTCAGAAGAAACATTCCACTTTAGTGTATTTTTACAACCATGCTGACTCTCCTCTATTTAATTAGTTTAAGAAATTGAAATCCAATTATAAAAATCTAATTTTTTAATTAATTTTAATTATTTTTCAAATTTTTATCATACTATACAAGAATAATTTGAATAATTTTGTAAATAGCAAAAAATTGACAATTAAATATAAATCCATTTCCAACACTTTTAATTTTAATTAGAATAAAGTGATACAAACTAATTCCAACTGTCAAAATTTAGATAAATTTTTTCAAATTTACGTTCAGTTTTCATTTCTTCATATAATTTTTTTTTTTATCTTTTTAATACGAATTTGTAAAATGAAATAAAAACTCACAGTATGTTGAAATAAATTTTCTTAATAAAAATATCACATTTGAAAACTATTTATGTTGATTAATTTAAATACTTAATGCGGTGGTGGATTGTTTTAAAGACTTTTGAATCTGTTTCTAAATTTAGGAAAATTTAAATTTATAAAAAAATGATTATTATATAATGTTTAACTAAGAATGAAGTAATCTATTATTTGATTGAGATAAACATTGACTTCCGTGTGTCAAGAAGACATACTAATAACATTAGTCTTTTGTAATAGTTTGGTGACCGTTCGAGCGAGTATGAAAGACGTATTCTTCATTAGAATGCGACTTTTGATTCCAGCATTGTGTAAGGCCATATGATAAAGATCAGAATAAAACTGAAATTAAATAATCGAGTGTATTATTGAAATATTGAGTTCAGTGAATAATCTTTAGAAATTCAAAGATGCTTGAATGGCTAACCTTTGCATCATCACCTTCCACTGGTTTATCAGTGAACTCTGGACTGACTTCCGTACATTCAACTGCCACTGTTTGAACTGGAGTTACTAACAAGGTCATATTTGTTTGCTGAAAAAATAATATGTGTGTTTATATCAAATGTAGTTGCATGAATCTTATAAATATTCTATAGTCATTCTTGGGGCAAGAGTTTTTGTACTTAAGGTATTTCTCTTGCTAATTAAAGGCATTTATAACAAAAATTATATTTCCCTCTCAAGAATCAGAAATTTATTTAATTATATTTTTTGAAGAAAACATGTTATTTTTTAAGAGAAAAATTTTTATTTTACAAAAATTGTTTATTTACACACATTTTAGGCAATAAAAATATTTTCTCATATCGCTATTACAAATTTTTTTTTAAAATGCTGCAATTTTTGTTTACTATGGCTTATTTTCTGCAAAACATATTAACTATAATTTCACCGAAGAGAATTTCTAAAAAATGCCCGAAAAAATCGATTTTCAATGCAACAAACCGCGCATCTCTAGCTTCATTAGACTTTTTACAAATGCTCTTCAATGATAGACACAACTGATTAAAAAAATCGTAAAAATTTTAAGTAGAAAATAGGTGAATATAAAAATTGATCAAATTAGTTTGAAACTCTTTACTCGGGGGTTTATGGGGTCGCTGATTACGAATTTAACATCAGATTTTTAAACGAGTTTTAAGCAAATCCAATCAATTTTAAAAAATTTTCCGCCATATTGGATCCGCCATTTTGAATTTTTAAAATCTAATGTCAGATTCGTAATCAAAGACCCCAAAAACCTCCGAGTAAAGAGTTTCAAGCCATTTCAACGTGTAGGAGCATCATTTTTAACTTGTTAACTTTCAAGTTAACATAAGGACATAAGGTCCCTTTTAACTGTCCAAGTCACATATATTTAAGAGTATATCCTGATAATTTTCAAACATTTTATCCAAAAATTTATAATAATATCTGCTGCCGCACATTGTAGGTTGCGAATCCGTCTTAAGAGATTTGTATACTTTGTGGAAATCACAATTTCTATCTGAAATTAATTGCACAAAGAATATACTTTTTTATATGTATCTCTTCTATGTGAACCTCATTGCCATAAGAAATAAGTAAATTACTAATTTTTGTAGGGGTATGAATAAAAAATATGATTTTTTACCATTTTTGCTTCCTCGTGGAGGAAGCTTTGTAGCCCTTTCGTTTATAAAATTTTTAAAATACCTGTGTGGAAAAATGTTGGGGAAGTCTAGAGTCCAATGATTTCCCGATCAGCAATAAACAAGACCGTCTAGTGTAGACGGTCTGGTTAGGGCCTCACCATGGACTAATCAGACGGTCTTATTTGAAAATGTTTCAAGTCAAATATGTCCGTCTTGTAAGTCGCTGCTTAGACCGTCCTGATTTGCCAATGACCGTACCTAAACGCTACTTTATTTATTTTTTTGCTAATTGTATTGCTTTCTAATGAAAAATAATAATTTCCTTAACATATTTAAGTATATAAAAATAATAATATTAATAATTTTATTATATTTATATCATTTATGTCATTATTTTTTATCATCAATATAATAATTATTTATATTATATTATTAATTTTTTGTTATCATTATATTATCATTAAATTATTATTTATTAATTATCTATGAAATATACATATATATTTTTAAAAAAATGCAGCGAAATTTTTTTGAAGTATATATGCAGTTAAGAAGCCCTCTAAAAAGGAATCCTATTCCTTTTTTCATTTTCTCAAAATACATCATCACAGATAGGTCTTTTTTTCTGCCTCTAGAGTGGTGTTACCCCTTAATAGGGAATGGACAATATTCAGCGGGACAAATAGTATAGGGTCTGCAACAGTAATCCTGACGCGGTCCCTAGTAATAATAAGGCAACCTTATCCGAACCTTAGGATATATCCCTAGTAGAAATTACGGTAAAATGCCGAAGCTCACCACTGGCATTGTATTGGCACAGTACAATCTACCAGTACTGGTTTCCGGGAATTTTACCAGTACTGAAAGGTAGTACTCATCCATTACAATGCCAGTAATATATTCAGATCAGCATTTGAGGCATGCGCAATTGGACTATTAACTATATCTCACATCTGCGTCTTCACGTCACTAAACTAGAATTCTATCACAATTGCAGTTAATTTATTTTTAAAAATAGTGCGTGTTTGTTTTTTATTAATGTCAAAATGTTTGATTATAATGCAAAACAGGAGTAACTTTTTTGATTTTTTCATTAAAGAGGAATGTAAGTATAGAAAATATTTCATATTTTAATAGAGAATACATAGAACGCGAGGTTATTTTCTATTTTCATAAAAGGTTATTTCAATAAATAAAATGTAAAGGTTACATAAGAATATATAATTTGTTAAAATTTAGTTTACAAGTATGAAAATAAAATTTTGCAAAATTATGTTTTCTAAAAAATGTTTGTTTGTAGTTTTTGAAAATTATTATATGTATAACTAAACCTCAAAAGATACAGTTTTCAATTTTATTTTATTTAGTCAATAAACTAAATTTTTTAATACTTGGAAACTCTTATTAAGTATTATTATATATTATTTATGTTAAATTTTAATTTCTTTAATTTTTTAAAACTATTTCAGAAAATTTTAATATAAAATGTTTGGACAAGACAGGAAAAGATTTATAAATCGCGACAGAGTTGAGAGACACAGGTGTTCAAAAAAGTTGAAATTGTCTGATGACAATATTTCGCAGGAAGAATCTTCATCTGGTATGTATATGCTGCAAATTAAAATTTATTTATGAAAAAATATAAAATTTATTTAAAAACTAATGTTTTAAAAAATGTGTTAAACAATTAAATTCATTAATTCTTTACAAACTTTCTGAAATTATTTAATGAAACTTTTAATTAAGTTTCATTTTAAATTAAAAAAAGAATATAGGATAACTGCACCAGTGGTGGATCAACTGCGAGAAAAATGTTCATTTGTGTTTACACGTTTGTAAGTAAATGAACCGCAAGTGTCGGTAATTGTTAAGAAAGTTATACAGATCAATATTACAATTTAAAAAAATTTTTAAATTCATCGCGAAGAAAGCAGGACAACAATTACTAAAGTGGTGACAGAAAACAAGAGTTTTTCTTAACATGTAAGTTAAGAGTATATTTTGGAATAGAAAGCTTTGGAGCCATTTTAGGACAATTTTTAACTCTTTTCACAATAGGAGGCATTTCGTTTCATCCCCATAGAGCCCTGAGAACAATATTTACGTCTTTAAGTAGCGCGTGTCCATTGTTTTGGGGTGATCCACGACTGGAACCAAAAAAATAACAAAATCTAGTGGTGGATCAGTCCTACTTTTCGCCTGTTGACGCATTGTTTTATTGAAAATTTTATGAGTTAAATTTTAGTTAACACTAATTCAAATGTTTATTAATTGTTAACACCTGGGGGTCGATTACGTAACTTTCCCACTTCCCACATCTCACTTCCCACATTTTACATCCCACATCTCACTTCCCACATTTTACATCCCACTTCCCAAATCCCACATCTCACTTCCTACATTTTACATCCCACATCCCATATTTCACATCTCACTTTCCATATTTCACATCTCACTTCTTACTTCCCATATTTCACATACCATATCCCACTTCCCATATTTCACATTCCACATCTCACTTCCCACATTTCACATCCCACTTCTCACATTTCACTTTTCACATCTCACATTGTACATTACACTTTTCTTATCACGCTTCCCACCTTTTATATCCCACTTCTCACATCTCTCCCATTTCCCACAAGATGTTGGATGTGGGAAGTGGGATGTAAAATGTGGGAAGTAAGATGTGGGAAATGGGATGTGGGAATTGAGAAGTGGGATGTAAAATGTAGGAAGTGAGATGTGGGATGTGGGATGTAAAATGTGGGAAGTGAGAAGTGGGATGTAAAATGTGGGAAGTGAGATGTGGGAAATGGGATGTGGGATGTAAAATGTAGGAAGTGAGATGTGGGATGTAAAATGTGGGAAGTGAGATGTGGAATGTAAAATTTGGGAAGTGAGAAGTGGGATGTAAAATGTGGGAAATGGGATGTAAAATGTGGGAAGTGAGATGTGGGAAATGGGATGTGGGATGTAAAATGTAGGAAGTGAGATGTGGGATGTAAAATGTGGGAAGTGAGAAGTGGGATGTAAAATGTGGGAAGTGAGATGTGGGAAGTGAGATGTGTGATGTGGGAAAGTTACGTAATCGACCCCCTGATTTCAAATTGTTAAATTTTTGTTGAATTAAAATACCCAGAATTAATAAATGTTATTTATCATTGAAACTGAAGCTTTAAGAGTTTCTATTTATTTATTACCAAAAATTCTAATAAAAAGATGATTAATTAATATTTAGTCACATTATACCTATAGAAATGAAAGAGGAGGGGATATGGATAGGAAAGTGAATTTGAAAATCTGTCCGTAAAGCCTTATAAAAGTTGCAAAACGTCTCAGTCTCGTAATTTTGAAATGCAATGTTTTTTAGTATGATTTTTTAAGTGATCCACCATTGGAGGAATCTATAACCATGACTGATGCAAACAGTGATCCAGAATAGGATCATTGACAAATTATCTTTGATGGAGCATTAAAGTAAACGTAGGTGTCAAAATTAAGTCTAACCTTGAAGGAAATGTCTATTGGAACTATCTGGTCCATAATACTATAAAGAATAACCTCGAATTTGTCTAAAAACAACCTATACAGAACTTCAAAGTCAAAATAAGAAAGTTAAGGGGCTTAACTGATCCACCACTGGTTCAGTTACCCTATTCTACGAATTAATGTTTTGTATAAAATAAGTTTAGATAAACCAAGTGTCTCTCATAGCCATGATGATAAAAATATTTATAATTTTGCACAAGTTAATAGCTGCCACTACGATTACCAAGATTGTGATAAAATTACATATGAAGATTTTGATGATGCTGATGATACAGATGATGATGACGATGATTATGTATCTTGCGACGAAGACGAGCAGTTTGAAGACGCTGAAGACAATTTATTTTTGGATTTTGAAGATGTAATGATCTGACTTTTTATTGCCAAAGGATTTGCTCGCCGGATGGAGTCCGGGTACCTATTTTGACTAGTTATTTTAAATCTCGGTAGATGGCGTGAAGCGCCATCTATGTTTCGATTCATTTCGGAACTATTTCTTACTATGATGTAGAGGAGAGGTGTAGTCATCAACGAGACTTTATTTAAACCTTCGAAAGAGAATATATTGTTTAAATAAAAGAATAAGCAAATATACAAAAATGAATTATTACATAAAATAATATAAGAACAAAAGAAGCTATACAATGCAAATAAAATACTAAACTCTAGAAAACATAACGATAAAAGAACTAGCTATTCTAGAGGAGCGTTTGCTGAGCTCCGATCACGCTCGTCATTAATCCAGAATCAAACGGATTTAAACATATTTACCACGTTCGCGAAGATGTTGATCAGGACGACGCATATTACTTTCGCGTGAGGTACTTTCTAGAATTTACCTCCTAGACGACGGTACGGACGGATACTAGGGTCGTGCACGCTTGGTCGATTATTATTCGTAATCGGGAAGAAGCTAGAGATTGGATTCGGTTCCAATATTCATGGCCGACGCGATGCTAGTGCGAAGTAATATTCACTAGTGTGTTCCGCAGAAGCACCTACAGGAACAAGTACAGCTCCTTCTAGGAAGTGAGGAAGGCTCTGGTGTTCAGAGTGACGCACCTCTACTAAGCACCAGGTGCCAGAAGTGAGTCGCTTCCAATCGTCAGAGAAGCACCTCTAGGCGAGTCGGAAGAAGACTGAGGAAAAGGTGCGAGACGAAAGGTCTATCACTAGCAGCTAGGTGACAGCGAGTGGTGGGGGAAGAGAGTGACACTACTACTTACGCTGTCTACTTTCTCTCTTTTCGCCGGGCGACTATACTACGATACTCTATCGTTACAAAGACATTTATGGGGATGAGTCGGAAACCGAGAATACTGACGAAGAAATAATTGACGATTTTGAATATTCAGATGATGAGCTTGACGTAAATGATGAATCTTCCGAAATGGACATAGTTTCCGAAATAAGAATGTGGGCACAAGGAGGTCAAGTACCATTGACTAAAGTTGATGAAATTCTTAAGATTTTAAGAAAAAATGTGCTACCTCAATTACCAGCATCTTCTAAAACGTTGTTAATAACCTCTTCAGCTAAATATGTTATAACGGAAATGGAAGATAAGGATGGAGGAAAAGGTCAGTTTGCTTACCTTGGAATTGCTTCAGGTATTAAAAATTGCTTGAATGTGAATGAGCACAAAAGTGATACAATCTCTCTAATTATTAATATTGATGGAATGCAACTTTTTCGGTCTAGTAATAACCATTTGCGGCCTATTACTGCAAAAATTTATACGCCTAATAATATTTATAAGCCATTTTGTATTGGACTTTTTTTAGGAAAATGCAAACCAAAAAATATTAAAGAATATCTGAAGGATTTCAAGGAAGAGATGAATCGTTTATTCGAAGAAGGTTTGACAATTAAAAATAGACACTTCAAAGTTAGAATAAAATGTTTTGTTTGTGATACTCCCGCTCGTTCATTTGCAAAAGGTACCAAAGGACATGGAGGATACTACGCATGCGAACGTTGTAAAATTAAGGGAAAAAGAGTGAAATCGAAAAAATCTAAAAAGAAAGGTTATCGAACCGTTTATCCATCAACTAATGAACCTTTGAGAACCGACAATTCGTTTAGAGAAAAAACTCAACCTGAACACCATAAAGAAGAATCAACACTTCTTTCTTTAAAACAAACAATAAATATAATTTCCATATTTATTTTAGATTTTATGCATTTGGGATCAGGTGTTATGAAAAGAATATTAGAATGTTTGACATCAGGTTTGAAGACAAAATTGAGTGTGAGAGACAGACAAACATTATCTGAAAGATTGAAAGCATTGAAAAATCAAGTTCCAATTGAATTTCCGAGGAAACCTCGATCTTAAAAGTTTCTTCCGAAATGGAAGGCGACTGAGCTTCTTTTCTGTCTCTTATATAGCGGTCCAATTGTTTTTAAAAACATTTCAAGTCCTCGACTTTCCTAGCATTTTCTTTTGTTGCACGTAGCTTGTCGCATTTTGTGAGATGAAGAATTTGCTATTTCATGGAACAGTTTAGCAAAGCATTATTTGATCTGTTTTTTTAAACTTTTAAAGCATACCTATGGAACTTCAATGCAAGTGATGAACATGCATAATCTGATTCATTTAGCAGATGATGCAAAATTCTTGAATTCTAGTTTTAAAAACATCACCGCTTTTCCATTTGAAATTTTTTGGGTAAATTAAAAAACTTGTTCGCAGTGGAAATAGAGCCTTGTCTCAAATTTTTCGACGGTTATTTGAAATGACTGTAAACAAAAATCCATCATCGCCACCTGTCATACAAATAATTGAAACCGAATCCGTGACAGAAGATCGAACGAGGATTAAAAGCTCAAATACACTAACTTAACTATTTCCACATCTTATCCAGACAACACTATGATGCTTTCTAGCAAAAAGATTTTTAAAATCGCTGACATCGTTAAATTAAAAGAATATCATTCGTTAGACAAAATAGTAATTGTTGGACATGTATGGGAAAAGAAGAAGTCTATTTTTGATTACCCTCGTGATTCGAGTGATTTATACATGTGAGAAATGCAGAAGGATGCAAGGAATGTGGTGAAAAGTTATTTTTTAACTGATATTAATCGAAAAATGGTTGTCATGTGAGTGAACGAAAATTCTGAAAAAAGAATCTATGCAATTCCTTTATTGCATCACTGAACTATGAATAGGGAATTTTTATCGATATCTTTTTTCATTTAAAATCGATAAATTGGTTCTAAATTATATTAGAAAACAATAGTCATCAAATTCATTTTTAAAAAAGTATCAGTTATTTTTCAATCTTTGAATGGACGTATTTTCGCGCGCTACAATTACTTCTATCTTTGTCTGCTAAGTTTTGCCTGCCCAATAGACAAATGTTAAATCGGCAATTTGCCGTACGCAATCATCTGTGTATACACCGTTTCACCATCTATTTCTCAGATAGCATCGCTCTGACAGAAATTGTGGAGGTAAAGTCATGTAATTATGTTACCTTTTATATTTTATATTTATCAATTTCTTATAGTACTAAATATTTTTCTCATTAAAGTGTTGAAAATGCGATAAGATTCAGAACATGATTTCTAACCTCAACCTCATTTCTTCCCTCAACTCTAACATTAACAACCTCAAAGTTATAGACCGCGACGCGTCAACCACGTGTACTCACACTGCTTGCACAAATAAATTAACACAAATAATTAATTGTCCAGTGTATTTTATATTACAAAATATTTTTTTAAATACATTTATTGCGTTTAAAACATAATTTTTATTACACTATTGGATTACAAGCAAATAAATTTTTATCGAAAATCAATAGCTACGTGTTGCATCAGATTTTTTATTCAGTGTTTGTGTTTTTTTTATAGAAATTTTTCTGATAAAATTATTGCTATTGTTGCTTCTATTTTATATGACATTAACAAATATATTAAAACTTTCAATACTCTCTGTAATTCAGATGTAGTGAAAAAAAATTCATGACGTAATTTCTAACCTCCAAATTTTAGAAAAGCACTTTCTACATGTTCTTTTACAAGGTTTCGTGTCTAAACTTTAAATAATTCATCATCAAATTGTACCACATAGCAAAAATTATTTTTTATTGCATACACACATACATAGATACTTTGTTATATTTGAAGGTTACTAATGGAACACGTGAAAATGAATATCAAAAGTTTGCACAAAAATACAACCCATGTTGTTGTGCAGTTCATTAAACTAAACAGTAAAGTTTTGTAAATATCCACCCATCGTAGAATGTAAATTTATTGATGAGTTGGTTGAAACTTGAAAACATCCTGATCCAAAGTGGGGAGAATGGGCTGTAATTTTATTAAGAGAAGGAAGTAAGAATAATATTAATTATTAAAATTATAAATCCGATAAAACTTAAATTAATGTTATTGAATATTTAACTATTATTTTACTTTTTTAAGGTTCTTTTCAACAAGGAATAAGGCGCCAGGATAAAGCCTTCGATAGCGCAATTGTTGATACAAGTACCTTTGAGGAAAGTTGCTTAAGTGATGAACCTCGAGAACATTCCGATTCAAGTTGCGATGAATCAGCTGATGCCATTTTAGCCGAAGCGAAAAATGTCGTTGCCATTCAGTGAAAAATAATTTTACTAATACAGAATCTGAAAAATCTTTGGACAATTCTTTTGACGAAGAACACGAACGGATCAACAACGATTATATAATCAGTCCAGAAAATCATTTAAAAAATCAGCTCAAACTAAATCAAAATTTAAAAGTCCTTACGCTTCTGCTTCCGTCATAAGAGTTAATGGTGCGAAAAATATCGCCAATTCGCAACGTAAAGTGAATGAGACCCAAGGTATTTTTTTTGTTTAAAAGAAATCTTTTAAGTTTTCAAATCGGTATACATTTTATGCATAATACGTAAATAAATCTTTTTTCGATGCTTTTATGTTTACTTATTTAAAATTTTGCAGAAATGATACTTCATTAATAATATCTTTATTTTTTTTAACATTTACAGCGAATGCCATGCCAGTAGCTTCTTCGTCAATCCATTCAGTGATAGAAAACTTTCCAGATGTAGAATCTGAAGAAGAACTCGAACCGAACAACAACGAGTATAAGCAGTCCGAAAAAGCATCATTTACAAAACCAGCTCAAACAAGAGCAAGAAAATTTAAAAGTCCATATGCTTCTGCTTCCGAAAGAAGAGTCACTGAAAATTCTAATCATCGGAATAGTAAAAAATGTGCACACTGCAGAAATGATACTGGTAAGTTAGTTTTAAATTAATTATTTACAAATTTTTTTTTAAATTTACACAACATTTAATTATTTTAATTATGACACTACTTCTTATTTCAGATTTGACTGAAGTGTTCACAAAATCGATGGAACTTTTAGAAAGACGACTTTTACATCATATTAACAGAAGATTAGACACGTTGTCAGATGCGGTAGTAATAAATCAAGCTGCAACTACAATCTCTGAAATTACGGAGAAACCAATTTTGAAAACTTTGCCAAAAGAAACGGTACAAGATTTTAAAGATTTTGACCAAACTCTCAGTAATAATGAAGAATCTCTACTTCATGTGGTAAGTTTTTGATTTTTAATTTAATTTTATGATTTTCTTTATTTTTATTTATGCAGCACGCGCGAAATCAGCCAACGTTGCAATCCGTATTATATTACCGAGAATCAGTAAAAAGGAAGTTCAATTAAAGTACAGTAAGGCAGGAAAACCATTTCACGGAATATCAAAGGATAATTTTTCCGCCACGACAACATTTAAATCTTTAGAAAGTACGTAAAAACAACTTTAAGAAGTAAATTAAAAAAAAAATCTAAACCTCCCGATCCGTCATAGATAAATTCTTCCCATAAGAAATAACTTGGGATAAATTTATCTGTCACTCATCGGAAAGTGGATCATTACAGACTAAATAAATTTTTAAAAATATTTTTAAATAATGTAACTTTTTTTCTAGGAGTTCTTTTGGATATATTCAAGAACGAAACACAAAAGACGATTGGAACAGCGGTTAGTAGATGTCAAATGTAGGCTGTCAAATGCTGTTGATCGGGAGGGAGGAAAAAAGAAACGGATGCAAGAAAATGCCCGTCAAGCAGAGTAAATAAAAATCTTTTAATTAGTAATCCTAAATCTAAAAATTACAATACTATTTTAAATAAATCTAGGTAGCCACTTAAGAAAAGATATTTTAGTTTTCGTTTAGCAAGATATTACGTAATGATGTTGTGAATCGTGTGACATTATTATCGAAGAAATTAATGTCGTCAGAAATCATATTTGCCTCTCTGCTAAGTCTAGCAATCAATGAGTTATTACCATAATTAGTTTTGTGAAATGCCACCGAAAACAATGTATATCGCCTAGAAAACATTCTGGGCACTTATAAATTTATCATAGAGAGAAGTGAAGGACAAAAGATAGCTCCATTCATAAGTCTATACAAAAAAGCCATATCTGCAAAGTAGAACCGTGAATTTAACAATGGTATATTTAATACCGATATAAGTTCCCTGTAATCATGTGTTTGCACGTCAAAGGGGATATTGAGTAATCTCGCAGCAAATCTAAGAAATTTGTTCTGAACACGTTCAATTCTGATTATATGGAAGACGTAGAAAGGTGCCCCAATGATACATGCATATTCTATAATTGTTCTGACAAGCGTCAGGTACAAAGTCCTGATGGTCAACATGTTATGAAAAACAGAGGCACATCTCATTATAAAACCCAAGACTTTAGAGGCTTTTGAAACAGTCTCAGTAATATGATCATTAAATACTAAATTACTATTAAATACAACCCCCAAATCACGCACCCTCTCTACTCTCTCGAAAATATGACCATCAATAGTGTAGTTGTTTAAATATAAATTTACACTACCTTTCGAAAAGGTTACAACAAAACTCTTTTTAATGTTTATACTTAAATGATTTTTAACACACCAATTTTGGGGTCTTTTTAAATATCTTTGTAACTTTAAAATATCTTTTTGAAAGGTAGACGGATGAATCACTGTATAACACTTGAGGTCGTCAGCATAAAGTAAAAACGAGGAGTGCCTGAATATTTGCTTAATATCATTCATATATAAAATGAACATTAAGGGACCTAGGCGTGATCTCTGTGATACCCCAGAAGTTGCTAGAAAAGGATCGCTAAATTCACCAACAACCCTTACCACCTGAATCAGGGTTGCACAGTGACGCGTCACTCGAGGTTTTTGACGTATATTACGTAAAAAATGTAATATACGTAAAAAACCTGTAATAAATGTAAAAAAATATGGCGGCGGTCTGGCGATCAATAAAAAATATGTAAACAAATATTAGTATCACAGAAAAGCAACAAATTAATTATTTTAAAACTTTTAAAAAATAAGTATATGGATATGAATGCACAAAATCGAAAACGCCAAGCAATTCCTTGGCAAAGTTTAAAATTTTCACGCTTGAAAACTGATGAAAAAGGAGTATTTGTCATAGTTCTCTTGCACCCAGGACAAAATGCTGCATTTTTCCCATCGAGTTTCACCAAAACATACGACAATTCCTTCCAAAAAGAATTTCGCGGCCTTCCACCTCTACGCATTTTATTTTTCGCAATTTGCAATTGTGCCACTCAATTTTATTTTCAGGATCACGGAGTTTAAGCGGCCATTTTGATAAAGTAAATTACGTAAAAAACTAAGCACGTAAATTACATACGTAATATACATGTAAAAAACCATGTAATTTACGTCAAGTATATTACGTACGCAACCCTGCACCTGATACCTGTCAGAAAGATAATTTTTGAAAAAAAGAACAATATTGTCAGAAATGCCTAGTGATTTCAATTTATTTATAAGTATATTATGGTCCACCTTATCAAACGCCTTCGATATATCAGCATAAATAACATCGATTATTTATACATATAATATTTATATATATGTCAATAATGTAGCAATAATAATAATTATTTAATATATTAATTAATTATTCATGTTATTTATATTTTATTGTCATTTAACGTACGAAAATGATAATAATAATGATAATAATAATATAAAAAATATTTTATTTACCCATTTTTTAATTAATTATATTATTATAATTTTTTGTTTTCGTTAACTGTTTAAATTTAATGATGTAGAAATTCTTTATTATAAAATAAAATATTTACTTTAATTAAAATAAAAATTTTATTTAATTTTATCAAAATAAAAATTCCCCTTTTTTAAATTCGGTGATTTGGATAGGCGGTATTAATCCAGTACCAGAAGATTACTGGTTGATGGTTCTACACCAGTACAGATAAAATTCATTAAACCAGTACCGACAAGCATTACAAGCCAGTACAGACCCACTACTGGTACTACGGCAAATAGTACTGGACCAGTAATTGCGCGGTCGTATATTTCTACTAGGGATAGCCGGATTAAAAGTACACGGGGTGGGGTACTGGGCCGGTGGAATTTTCGATACCGGCCCAATACCGGCATTTCTGCCAGCTTGGTAACGAGATGGTCATGGATGATAACCCGGGAAATATCCGCGTCAGTGCTGGTGAACCACCGGTTCTTGTTCTTATTGTTAGTGTTTTAATACCGATTTACTGCCGACAAACCACCGGCGGCGTAACGGGTCGGTCAACAATGATAAGGCTGCTCACACATGAAAAGATGGAACAGTGTGCAGGATCGTGTACTCGGTCTTGTGCACGGTCGTGCACCGATCTTGCACATGTTCCTTCACCAGGTCATGTACAAGAGCAGCAAGTGAACATGTCAAAAAAATTGGAACAGCGATCTTGTACAAGAACATTTACAAGAATATGTGCAAGAACATGCATATGTTTATTCATGGTAACTAAAGAAATCAAGATCTCAAGTCCATGTTCGTGTACTTGTGTAAGATCGTGCGTAATTTATGTACATGATCTTGAGATTTCCCTTACAGTTTATAATTAAAATCTTTAATGGCTGCCCAGTAGTTTTCTGTGGCTTATATAGCTGCACAGTTATTTTTTGCATGTGAACAAAGAGTCTTTATGACCAAGTTTTTTCAACCGGGCCGGCAACTATCAGATCCGGGATCAGCAGGGTACCAAAGTACTCTATAAGCTTTATTTGAATTCGCCTCTCATAAGCAGGTTTAAGGTCAGCGGATGTGGCGTCGACTTTGCAGCCCTATGGTCCGGAGTTCAATTCCCCGTGTTTAATGTTTAAATTAAATTATCTAATAATTAATATTGTTTAATATATAATATATATGAAATGTGTTGTTAATATAAAATGGTAATCTGATATAGTGCTAGCATAACGTCGGCAGAAATATTACCAAAAAAAAATTTTTAATCACCGTCCCAGTACAAAGTCGATAGAAATGCCGGTACCGGACCAGTATCGAAAATTTCACCGGCGCGGATATTTGCCGAGTTATCATGCATGACCGGACCGGCTCCACGCCGGCGGAAATGCTGGTCTTCTGCCGGCACATAAAGATGCACATTTAAACAATTATTAATTTAATTATTTGAGATCAAATTTTTTCCCTCGCCGTAATTGAAACAATTTTAAGATTTCCATTGACTTCAATTACGGCGGGAAAAGTATCTTCAAAATACACGTAACTTTGGTCACCGAAATTGCACTGAAAAGAAATTCTAGTTAGAATAACAAGAATTCTAGTTAGGGTATATTTAACATTTTGATTCTGGTTAGGTTAACCAGAATTCTGGTTATTTTAACGAGAATTCTAGTTAATTCAACTAGAATTCTGGTTAACATAACTAGAAAGTAATGTTAAATATAGCCTAACCCGAATTTTTTTTCAGTGTGATACAAACGCGCCGTAATAGAAAATTACGGTATTAGTTTTAATTTCTCATATTTGTTTAAATAATTGATTTTTATAAAGTTAAAATTTTTTTTAATATTTAAATAACATAAGCTTTTAGTTTAATATGTCTTAAATTGACTTTAAACAATTGAAATGTCGAATTTTCTATTTCAAAGATGTTTTGACTCGAATCGCACCGTAATTAGTGCCTTTACCCTAGTGGAGAAGAAAATAAAGAATCTTTTCTTGTGGTCTATAAATAAGATAAGTAAAATCCAGTCCTTGACACAGGTGGCTATAAAATAGTTTTGTATGCAAAATCCTATATGGCTATTACAAACAGCGAAAACTACAGTATGATGTTTGAAAATTACCTGCTTAGCAATACAACCATGCAACTCCTTGATCTGAATGACAATTTGTCGAGGGACGCGAGTTGCGTTCCATCGGGACCATGCGAATGAATATGCGGTACACAATAATCCCATACATGCTTGCAAATGTTTTTCAATAACTGGATGTTTAATCGGTAATCCTTTGACGTAACTGTACGCGTCATCTTCCGGAAAGAGGTCGCATCCACCATTCCGCATTTTCTAGAATCATTATGCGATGTTATATTTCATTTATTAACTCAAATATACTTTTCTATATAATTATACACTTTAAAAAAGTCGTGCAATTTTTTTTATTTTTAGGGGAGAGTGGGGAGTTGTGCTCTGATTTTTTTTTCGATCAAAACTATTATATAAATTTTTTTATTATTCTATTATATAGAACTTTAAGTACACGTACAAATACAACTTTTGGCATGATCGATTAATTAAAATTCAAAACGGAAATAGAAATTTTGCTTGTTTTCAAAAAAAACTTGTTTTATGACTTTTCAAAAACAGTGGTTGTGCTCCACCGTTGAAAATTGAAGAAAAAAACCTATTTTTTAGAATATTTTTATTTAAATCATGAAATGTGAAAAAGTAAGATAAATTACATGAAATAAAGTAATAGAGAAGATAATAAAAGATTAATTCGTTAGCCCCAAGTCGAATGCACGCAACTTTTACAGACTTTTGGAAAGTACGTAACTTCCACAGCCGTTTTGGAAAACACGTAACTTTGTGGTACAGAGCAGAATGTACGTAACTCTGAGAATAGTAATTTGTATTTTGTAAAAACACAAAAAACCAACATAAGCGAGTTCCAAACGATTCTCAGAGTTACGTACATTCTGCTCCGCACCACAAAGTTACGTGATTTTCAAAACGGCTGTGGAAGTTGCGTACTTTCCAAAATGTCTCTGAAAGTTGCGTGCATTCGACTTGGGGCTAACGAATTTTAGATAATTTAGATAAAATTAAATTATTTTAAAAATAATTGAATTAAACTAGGTAATTAATATTATTTACAGTGACTACAGATGTAAAAAGTCTCATTTTACTGAATAACCGTAAAATGGAGTAAAGTCGGTGATTGTTACAAATAAATTTTAAAAATTTCTTTTTATCTTTTCTAAAAAAAAAATCCTATAATTATGATTATTTTGGTTTGTATGGACGTCAAACATTACTTTGACATTTGTTTCATTCATAATCAATGAATAATTTTAGTGAAATATGTGGTTTTATACAAATGTTCATTTTACATTTTCACTAAATAGTTTTGAAAACATGATTCTAGAGCTCTATTACAATTTTTTTAAGACAAATCCGATTGAACAACGTATTTCAAACATCCCTGGCATGATTTACCAAAAAAAAAATTGTGATAAAATAAATAAGAATTTAAAAAAAAATTTATTTACAAATATTATTGAATTCGGGGGACAAGTCGGCCAAAGTAAAAAACGAAACAAAATTATATTACTTTCCTTTTCTACTTGTTTCTAATCTACAAAATGTGAAAAAGTGAATGTTCCTTTCAAATTACAACAAAAACAGCGGGAAAAAAGTATTATTTGTATAATTTTGTCAAAAAATATCAAAAATTAATTTTAACCTCAATATTCTGAAGGTTAGACATTCATATAATGCAAAATGCTATTAAATATTTATTTAATCGTTATTAAATGTTCATTTTGACTTTTTTATATCACTATACTTCCAAAAATTGACTTTACTTAATTGGGAGGTTCAATTAAACTAACATTCTTGGTTTGCCAATGATTATTTTTTTAATGATCACCGACTTTACCCCACATTTCAGGGAAAAGTCGGTGACAATAAAAAGGCGTATAAAAATTTGTCTGAAAAATAAATAAATTTTTTTATGTAATAATATTAAAGAAGAGGAGTGAAATTTTATATATCAAAAGTATTAAAGTTGTATTTTATGTTTTTCTCATAATTTTTTAAGAAAAACTTTAAAAAATCGCTGACTTTACCCCATTTTACGGAACAATATTTAAATTTCATAAAACAGTCAAATTATTTATCAATAATGCAAAATTAAAATAGAGAGTGCGTATTAGAAATAAAAACTGTTAAATATGATGTGAGGCACAACTCCCAACTAACACTGGAGCACAACTCCCCATTTCTACATTTTTAAAATAATCAGAATAATTAATACATCGTATGTTTATGCGATTTTTTTTGTACGTCGAAAAGTTATTAATGACAGATAATTTTTATGCATTAAACATTGTGATCACTATAAAAAATTAGTGGAAATGACCTAACCATTAAAAGACAAAAAAACTTTTAGAAAAAAATTTTAACTCACTATCTAGAAAGACACGAAAAATGCTTCCAGAGATGACTGGTACCAATTAAAAAGTTAGTTTTTAACGAGAAAAGAATAGACTAATAGTTGAAATTTGTTATATTAATTGCCATAATAAAAAAATTAAGATGGAGCACGACTCCCCACGAGGCACAACTCCCCACACTCCCCTACTTATAATTTCTTTATTTTTAGTCATAGAAAATAATACTTATGGAGTATTTTTTTTTCGTAAAAAATATTGAATTGAAAATAATTATCCTAAGTATACAACTAAACTAAAAAATTAAAGTAAAGTAAAAACAAAAAATTACAAACTTTAATTAACAAATGAAGTTTCATGTATTGGTTAACAATATTTTGTAAAGCATTGGTATTTCCTCCAACCAGAGAGTGTAAACAAACCAAGTCTTCCTGAAAAATATTTTTAATTCAATGTTTTGTTAAGACTATGCAGTTTTAATTGTTAATGTTAACAAACCCTGACTATAAATTCAGCTTGAATAATGGCAGCAGTCACACTTAAAATTACACCACCACCTGTACTTTTTCCAGATTCTGGTTTCATTTCCCAACTTTGAAATGGTAAATTAACAAATCTAAATGCTGCCAGTCCATGAATTCCTAATCTGCCAGTTCTGAATGTTATTATTTGTTTTTCTTCGTTATATTTTATATCATGAACATCATTGGTAGACCAGATTCTTTTTTCCGGTATCCAATGTGCAACTAATGGCGGTTCAAACCAAAGAACTGAATCAGGAAGTCTATCAAATATATCGCACTTTATTTATGAATTTAATTTTTATTTATTATTATTTTAATAGTTAAAATTATTTAATTTAAATATATTAATAAAATAATAATTATAACAATTGTATCGTTTAACCATCAGAGAACACACTAGGTCAATTTTACCCACACAAAAAATTGTTGACTAAAAAGTTGTTTAATAAATTTGAAAAGTGTGATTGTGCCAGAAAGTAATAATAAAAATATTCTTAAAATTAACCTATGTTTCTAATCTTTAAAAATAATGCTACACGGAGAGAAATAGATGATACGGGGTACTATCTAGATAGTACCAGGTACCATATTTGATCTTACATATACGGACGGCAAATCTACTCTCTTAATTTGAATCAGTGAAATTTCACTGGTGAAATAGCTAGAAGTCGGTTACTGAATCATTTAGTGAAATTTTCATTGAAAATCAGTCATATATCACTGATTTCCAGTGAAAATTTCACTAAATGAATCAGTCAATCTGTTTTACCCATTACCGATAATACAGATTGACTGATTCATTTAGTGAAATTTTCACTGGAAATCAGTGATATATGACTGATTTTCAATGAAAATTTCACTAAATGATTCAGTAACCGACTTCTAGCTATTTCACCAGTGAAATTTCACTGATTCAAATTAAGAGCATTTGAACCTTCGTGACGTCACAAATCATGGCGCATGACAAGCAAACTTCTCAGGTATGTGAAAAGCACAATTTTGAATATTTTTTAAAAAAAACCTTTTGGAAAATGTTCAGAATAACATAGACTCTGTCTGTTATGTGCGGAAAATTCAAAATTTTGCGTTTAAAACGTTTTTTAAACAATGTTTAAGTTGGATGTCACAAGTAAGGAAAAATACACGAATTGCCTATATGTAGGCCATTTTTGGAAAGACCAGGAAAAAAATTGGAAAATTCTTATGTAATTTATCAAATATTGCTTCCTCGTGGAGGAAGCTTTGTAGTCCTTTCGTTTATAAAACTTTTCAAAGTGGCGGAAACAAATTTTTTTCTTTATAGAAACATGTTATATGAGATCCTGATCAATTGTCCGGATGTATGTATGTGTGTGTGTGTGTGTGTGGATCCCTTTTTTGTTTAGAAGATAACTTTAACAGGTTTTAATAGATTTAGTTAAAATTTTGTAGGCTCATTTATCATATTAATATCTCAAATCTGACCAAAGGATTTTAAAAAATACCCCAAAAAAAAAATTTTATCGTCTTTTTTCCAAAAATTTTTTTTTTAATTGAAAAAATTTTTAAATAGTAAAATTTAAGGTTATATATAATAAAATCGTATTCCTTACGTCAAGACGAATCGATCGATTTATATAAAGTATATATTTGAGGTAAATGTAAAGAATTAATAAAAGTTAAAAAATCAAAAATTCACATTTTGGCAATAAAATTTTGCTTTCTCCACGAGGAGGCAAATTTTTTTGATGATCGTAAAGAGGAAGCAAAATGTTCATGTAATGAACATCTGAATTTACAACTTGTTTAAATTAATTTTATTATAAATAATAATAATAATTAAAATTGTTTATTACTAATTGAACAATAAATTGTTGTTTTTTATTCACTTAAAAAAAAAACATACAATAATGCAGGTTTTCCCTAATTTTGAAATTTACCAATTTAAAAATTGTGAAGCGTAATATTTAAAAATTGAATTATTTTTCAATTTTTTAAATCAATAATTATTTGAAATTCAATCTTTTTTTGTACAATATTGAAATTAGCAATTTAAGAAATTGTCAAAAAATTGCTTTTTCATATGTTCTTTTTGAAAAATTTATATGAAAAACAATAATTATTTATTTAAAAAATTGAAGAATAATCTGCTTTTTAGCCATTATTTTTTACAACATTGAGATAAGTAATTTGAAAAATTCTCCAAAAACTGCTTTTTGAAAAATGCAATTTATATGAGTTTTTTTAATAAAAACGAATAATTATTGATTTAAAAAATTGAAAAATAATTCAATTTTTAAATATTACGCTTCACAATTTTTAAATTGGTAAATTTCAAAATTAGGGAAAACCTGCATTATTGTATGTTTTTTTTTTTAAGTGAATAAAAAACAACAATTTATTGTTCAATTAGTAATAAACAATTTTAATTATTATTATTATTTATAATAAAATTAATTTAAACAAGTTGTAAATTCAGATGTTCATTACATGAACATTTTGCTTCCTCTTTACGATCATCAAAAAAATTTGCCTCCTCGTGGAGAAAGCAAAATTTTATTGCCAAAATGTGAATTTTTGATTTTTTAACTTTTATTAATTCTTTACATTTACCTCAAATATATACTTTATATAAATCGATCGATTCGTCTTGACGTAAGGAATACGATTTTATTATATATAACCTTAAATTTTACTATTTAAAAATTTTTTCAATTAAAAAAAAAATTTTTGGAAAAAAGACGATAAAATTTTTTTTTTGGGGTATTTTTTAAAATCCTTTGGTCAGATTTGAGATATTAATATGATAAATGAGCCTACAAAATTTTAACTAAATCTATTAAAACCTGTTAAAGTTATCTTCTAAACAAAAAAGGGATCCACACACACACACACACACATACATACATCCGGACAATTGATCAGGATCTCATATAACATGTTTCTATAAAGAAAAAAATTTGTTTCCGCCACTTTGAAAAGTTTTATAAACGAAAGGACTACAAAGCTTCCTCCACGAGGAAGCAATATTTGATAAATTACATAAGAATTTTCCAATTTTTTTCCTGGTCTTTCCAAAAATGGCCTACATATAAGCAATTCGTGTATTTTTCCTTACTTGTGACATCCAACTTAAACATTGTTTAAAAAACGTTTTAAACGCAAAATTTTGAATTTTCCGCACATAACAGACAGAGTCTATGTTATTCTAAACATTTTCCAAAAGGTTTTTTTTAAAAATATTCAAAATTGTGCTTTTCACATACCTGAGAAGTTTGCGTGTCATGCGCCATGATTTGTGACCTTAACATTGTTTAAAAAACGTTTTAAACGCAAAATTTTGAATTTTCCGCACATAACAGACAGAGTCTATGTTATTCTGAACATTTTCCAAAAGGTTTTTTTAAAAAATATTCAAAATTGTGCTTTTCACATACCTGACAAGTTTGCGTGTCATGCGCCATGATTTGTGACGTCACGAAGGTTCAAATGTTCTTAAGAGAGTAGATTCTATCAGTTACTATCCAGATTGTACGGAGTAACATCTTGATTGTAGTAGGTAACATAACCATACTTTTTGTAATATCTTTGATAAAACCGAGTAGCATAATGATAGTACCGGATAACATCTACTTTTTACCATCTTAAGATCATAAGTTCTTACCATCTATTTCTCTCCGTGTACTTTCTCACATAAAATATTTAGATTTTTCTTCATTTATAAAGTGAAACATTTTTTTTTAAGCTTTTATTACAGAAAATCAACTTAATTTTATATACTGCTAAAGAGTTTATATAATGAATTACTTATCAAAAGGGGAGAGTGGTCAACAATGAGACATTTTAATTTTCTAAAAAACGACTTAAAAAAGCTCGACTAAACTCTAAATGTAAATCAAGTTTATGTATAAACACACTGTCTCCAGAAATTTTAGTTATTATTATTATTTACAAAGAAAATTGAAAAAAACTGTTTTTGGCACATCGGAAAAACTTGAGCCTCTGGAAAGTAAAACCACACATAAAATTTTGACCGCCATGCTAATTCAATGGGTCAGAAGTTTAAGTGTTGTTTTACAATGTGTTTAAAATACAGTGACACAGCCGCACAAAAAAAGTTCTGATCTGTGAGTCTGACTATGTATACTATATGTTTTTCTGGTCGCTGGATCCGAATCCGAGGTCTGTTTTACCCAATCAGATCAGGATTTTGAATTATCATCGAAAAAAAGATTTTAAAAAATAAATTTTTTTAACAACCTTCTTTTCTGAATTCTACAAACTTGGACAATAAAAAACTGTTAAGTACCAATAATTATCTTTATTATTGTATATTGCTAAAAATATTTATTTTTGTTTCGTAAATGATACTGGGGACAGGATTCCTCATGACGGTTTGGCTTTTTAATTTGCATTTTAAAAATAATATTTAATTTCATAAATTAAAGTGACTATAGGCTTTTGTTTGTAAACACTAAAGTTACTTTTTCTCGTTGAGTTCATTACAATATGTTCAATTTATTTCTTAAAAAACACAAAGGACATGAAATTGAACACTGAAAGAAAATAAGGCATTTTATTTGTAATGTCATAAGTTAAAAAATTGATTTTTAGAAAAAAAGTGAGACTTGGGGAAATTGTTGTCCTACTTGATAGTAAAATATTCCCAAAAAAATTTTTGACTTTTTTAAAATTTTGGGGGTCAATTTTATCAGTTTTCCCTGACACCGCCTACTATTTGAATTTTTTCTGTCTATGAATGCAATAAAAAAAAATTTGGCAGGTATGTTTTTTTAAGGATTTTTCATGCTCTTTCCAATGGTAAAAATTTCGTTTTTAAAAATTTTTGAATTTTGACCTTGATTTTCTATAATAATTAAACTTAAATTTGCTATTTTCACTAAAATCGACGCGTTTTTTTTAAATAAATAATTGCAAACGATAGGTGAAGTTTTTTCCGATCTGTATATAAATTTTCAGAAAGCCGATTTTTTTTGTTTCCAAGATATTAAATATCAAAGATTTTTTGTCCTTGCGCGCCAGTGTAAACAGCTACCCGACGTGGTATAAGTCGACTTCCTCGCCGCGCGCGCCGACATAAAATCTTTGACATTTAATATCTCGAAAAGAAAAAAAATCGGCATTTTGAAAATTTATATACAGATCGAAAAAAACCTCAGCTTTCGTTTGCAATTATTTATTTAAAAAGAAACGCATCGATTTCAGTGAAAATAGCAAATTTATGTTTAATTATAGAAAATCAAGGTCAAAATTCAAAAAT